CCCCCCCCGCCACCACCACACACACACCCTTCCATTCTACTGTATTCTGTGTTAATCCACTTCATTAAAGAAACACACTGAATGCAGCCTCCCAAATGGATTTCGTGATCTACTTAAGAGTTACAACCTGCAGTTCGCAAAACACTGCTTTACGGAACATTTGACATGACTTTTAGCAGTTAATGACTTCTTATGTAATAAACCTTTTCTCTGATAGGAGGGAATGTCACCTCAGGCTTTGACATAATTTCTAGCTTTGATTCTGATCTCTCTGACAAAAAAGCTGCAATACTTTTCTGATTCTTAATAGAGGTATTACTGTAGTATGGTTTGAAATCTTCCATTTCTGACTAAATATGGCATATTATATCTCGTGCTCCGGTCTATAAATATAATGCAAGATTCCTGCAACTTGCAAAAGGGATATTAATTAACCCATTATTAATAGGCAATAACCCATGGGAAAATTTCCCTCCACCTCAAAATCAGGACTAGCTTTTGCTTCACCCCAGCAGTGGTCTGTTTAACTTGAAAACTCCATGGATCATATCACTCTACTATATATATAAAATACCCTTCTGTTGGGTGCCAACCACCAGCACATGCACAGAACATTACCACAGTGTGTCCTGGCACTAGCGTTTCCAAAATTTTCCTGTAGGCCATGTTTTCCCTTCTCCATACCCTACCCGCTAAGAGATTCTCTTGCTGAGTTTTTAAATTTCATGGCACTTCCTATTCCTTTACAGGTACCGGCTGCTTCTCAAGTCCATATTGCATCATGGCTGATAATGATAGATAGGGATAATAGAAACGATAATAATGTACTATGAAATGGACAAGTTGCTTTCATCTTTTGGGCCTCAGCTTCTTTGGGAAACAAAAGGTTTGGAACTGGTCATCGCTAACTTCCTTCTAGTTCAAAAACTCTTTGAAATGGTCTCTTAAGCTACATGACATTTAACACTAAAACCAGTGAGAAGACTCCAAAGATTTTATCTTCTCTGTAGTCTATTTGGTTTCTACCACTCCTACTAACATATAGCTAGAAACCTTCTGCACAGTCGATAACAGAATGCAGTAGGATAAAGCCTAAGGAGGGAGAGAAGACTCATTCGCAGAAAATGAAAGACGACGGATTCGCAGTGCTAAACCTCGACCAACTCGCCATGTCTAATCGCCTTCCAAGGTGAACAGACCACCCGATAGCTTCCCATCACTTACTTATCTCTGCAAATATAAGAATGATACGCGGAATCAAGAAGCGGGCAGTACACTGAAGACCAAAGATAAAGGCCAGCTTTTCGTGACCCACGTAAAAATTCACCAGGGGATTTTTATTATGTCATTCAGGTAAAGGTTGGTGTTGAGCAGTAACTAACACTGATCAGGGGCCAGGGACTCATCTGGCTGCACTACAACAGTAGGTACCACCACTGTCCCTGTTTAGGAGCTGACAAAACAGAGGCCTGGAGAGAGTCATCTGCCCAAGGCTACACAGCCAGGAAGTGGCAGAGCCAGGATTTGAACTCAAGGATTAACCCGCACGGGGGTCAGCCTTATTTTAATCACTAACTGAAGGCTACATCTACTCCCAGGCCCCAAACTTCTTCACTTCAAGTGACTACTGCATTTCACTCAGGGCACAGTCTGTGACAAACCTTTCAAGAGCTATGGGCCACAGGAAGTGCAATTTCAGTATTTCGGGGCTAAGAGACACATGGCGAGACGCTGAAACCCTGGTGGTTGAAAAGCCACTCCTTCTCCCTACTTTTTCAGCCTCTTTATTCTTTCTCCCTTAGTTTCTGATTACCCATCACTCTGTCCTTTTCCAACACTAAAAACACAGGTGGAAAAACCATCGTACAGCACACCCAACAGAGCATCACAACACTGGACTCTTGAATCAGCAGTCAGATGTCTTGAGGACAGCTAGGTCCCTAATAAGCCTTGTGATTTTTGTTTGGGAAAAATACTTAACCTCTTTGCACCCAAGCTCTTTGCCTGAAAAATGGGAGATCTGAACCAGACGAACTCTCACAGCCTTTCTGGCTCCAAAGCAGTAAGCTTATGCATTTTGAAATACTTGGGTTTTAAAATTGAGATAAAACTTTGTGATCCATTCTATTTAAAAGGTAATTTGGTCCTTTTATGTAACTTGTTTGTTTTTAGCTCTTCCTCCTGAATGGTCCTTGATTGCTTTCTTCAAAAGCTGTAGGCTAGCAGGCTTCAACAGAATAAAGGTCTACCACTCCCCCGCAACACCACTCGGAACATCACGATTAAATTTGGGTGAAACTGTTAATGGGGTGTTTTTCATCCTGCCAAGATGATGACCGCTGAGGATTCAGAGGTCACAGACACCAACAGATTAATGCTGGTCAGGTTCGGGTCCTGGCTCCAGCACTCCAGAGTCAGGATGGCTGGGGGTGAGGGCCAGGGCCCCCCCCTCCTCCTGCCACGTCTGATGGCTCACGCCCTGGGAAGCTTTCTGGTGGAGTCTGCAGGTAACCACCAAACCTCTTTTCCCAGCTGCCTGCAGCAGGCTATCCTGCTAGCTGGTCCTGCCTGACCACCTCCTCCTCATTGTTTTAATGGAAATGAAGACTTTTTTTTTTTTTTT